AATCTTTCTCTCTCTCCCCCTCTGTCTTGCAGCCTGGAGCCAAAAAGATGTCTTTTTCTGAAAAGCTGAAGGCAACAAATCACATGATAGAAACCTTTAGGAGGAGAGCACCTTGTGATGACACCTCATAGATATTTTGCTGGCAAAATCCCACGGTAGGAATTTGCCAACAGACTGCTTGACGTAGATACAGCATTAATTATAACACTTTGGCCTTTCTGTAAATAAATTAATGATACATTTCAGAATTTAACGTAAGAGGACTTGGGTCTTTAAAAAAAAAAAAAGTTGCGCTGTGTACCATATCATATTTTCTTATTACTAGAAATGTAAAAAGACTAGATCTTGTTAACACACACTGATTTATATATTTTTAATTATCATTTTTTTAGACTCTTTATAGGTATTCTTTTAAAGTGGCTTCAGATAACCAGGGTCCCCTTAGGGTGACTTTTGTCCTGCATTTGTAACTCTTAGGCCTGACATGATCCTAAATACCAGCAGTTTCATAATGGAAGGGCATAAATGATAATACACCACTGGATTCTAAAAGCTTAGATCCAGCAATACCCAGGTATGATTCTGAACAGAATCATTCAGTCAACCATGTAATTAGGACTAATTAAAAGAAGTCCTTCTGACATGCTGGTATGTTCGGTCAATCTAGAAGCCTTGTCTGACAGCCAGCTTTCAGACACTCATCTATATTCCCATACACCAAGTACCTAATATCAAGCGTTTACCTGCTCCCGATTCTGGTCAGACATATCATTAGCTTTCCTGACACTGAAATGCAGAACAAAAGGAGTAAGTTGGTTCAAACTCCCCTAGACCCAATTCTAGATATCTGGGAAAAACTCATTTCTACAAGGTGCGAGGCAAGGATAATCCATTCTCTGCGGGGTTGGCGCGGTAAGCTAATGGCTCTGGTACACTTAGTCTCTGCTCATCCTCTCCCCATTTCCTTTGGAACAGTTTGTGGAGAGTCTCTTATGGAGTCTTTCACCTGTGGATAATCTGCATCCTCAATGGTGCTGGCAAAATCATTCTTGTTTAAAAATTTGCCAGTGACAAACCAGCTGCTTGGTGTTAAAGTGTCCAGGACATCACGTGTGGGCATATGCGCTCTCTGCTAGCTATGTGTACAGTACAAGAGTCCATAACTAATGTCTCTTCTCCGGTGCAGACTTTCTGGTTCAGTTGCTATCATACTGGGTGAAGTATGGCTCTGTTTATTGACTTGGCCTATTTTTCAGACAAGATGCAGAGTGCTTCCATCTGTGCAATGTCCTGAGTTTATTTTGGGACAATACATGATCTTGCACGCCTGTTTTATTTGAATGTTTTCCTATGGCCCGGTCCATCTGTTCTCTCGGAACTGTTTGCAGTAGTATTTCTCTTGTCTTTTTTGCCATCATTGTTTTATATTTCTGGTATACGACTCCCTATTAGATGCCACCAACCAATTTCTGAAGCTGCAGAACCCTTGAATCATCTATTTTTGCCTTTGGCTAGCACTTCATTTTGTGCCAAGGATTTTAAAAAGTTTCATCTACTTCTGTCATATTTCTATTCAACTTTAATCTTCTTGTCAATCACAGGTATAGTAATCATTTCCAAATTAACACCAGCTCCATTATTCCTTGCCTTTTCTTTTACATTTTGTGACTGTTTTTCATGGTGCCTCACTTGCAATTAAAGTCATCTCAGGTTATTAATTCACCGAGTGACTGGTTTCTGCCAATTCAGTGATTTCATAAAGAACTCTTCATGTCTTAAGGTCATCTTCAAAGAGCTGTAGTTATTTCTCTAAGTCAGTGTTGGTCACTAATAATTGGATCTCTACCTCAAGTGTTTTCTGAAGACACGCCAAAGTTCAGAAAACTAATTCAAGCCACGCTGCTTGGTCTGTTGCGGCTTTTATGAAATGGTTATAATATATAGATAAAGCAAATTCGGGTTTGACTCTCATAGGCATCGAACTTCTCTATCAAAATTGAGAACTTGTATGTTCTCAGGACCCTTGAAAAAAGGAAGTGATAATATTTAAGAACTGAATTCAGGAGGACATGCATTTTTCAAGATTCACTTCACAAAAGGTGGATTTTGTGAATCGTGTGAAGTGTTCCCCTTGAGGGGGCATCTGAACACAAGGGTCATACCATGCATTTGCAATACCCACTTGCTTTGAATTTACCAGTACTTTTACCAATACCAACTTGCAGAGAATAATGTTTAACCTCTAACAGATTGCTGTCCACAACTCAGGAGGCACAATGGCCACCTTCATTGGAAGTCTCAGAGAAAATACTGAGGATTGAATGAAGTTTGTATTACCATCCGATTCTCTTATTACTATGGATTCAGAACCATGCAGTTCAACAACCCAAAGCATTTTATATAGGGTTTTGACTGGTAGTAGATTTCACTTTAGTTGGTCTGGGACACATTTAACATCCAGTTAAAGGCTGCATCTCCCTTTTGCAGGTTAACTATGATACTGCTGATGCATCCCTATTGCATAGACTGTCTATTGCAGCCAATGTGCTAGTCCACCGAACAATAGCTAAACACTTCCAGTATCACCACCCATGAAAAGATCTGAATCTCTATGCTTTGCTCGATCGATTATAGAACGGACTCTCCTTAGGGCTTAGACACATGTGGGTTTGTGGCGCATATTTCTGCAGCACTGCTGTGCTCTTCCATTGCACAGCTTCAGAAAAGTTGTTCCATCAGCATTGCAAATATTCTTCAGTAATTGCATCTCTTGTTCAATAAACTGTTATCTTAATTGAATTATATCATTTGTACAATGCAGGCTGGGAATTTGTTTCAACTGCCCAGCCAACAAAAAGGAAAGAAAATAACTATGCTTCAAACTAGCGTGCTCAGTTTTCTCCCACTCAGTCAAGCCTTGTAAAGAAAACTCAAGGTTTTGATAAGACATCACTACTGGCTTTCAAAAATGTGTGTCTAGCTAGCTAGCAGACGTACTAAAGCTTGAAAATATCAACACAACCAGTGGAAAGCATAAATCACTCCTGTCAAAACCTTCTCGGTGGTCAGCAAGCTTATGATCTGAACCAAAAGACAAATAATTAAAAGCAGGGTGGGTTCCCATCCAGTCTGAAGTAAAGTTAAAAGCTGAACCTGTTTTTTTGCATTTCACGCAAGTAACCAATTATGAGAATACGGTGCTGTTTAGTGGCGATCTCCTCTCTTACTCAAGGAGCGGGGATTAGGCTTCCGAATAGTTTTTCCTGTCCCCGTCTGCATGCCCTTCACCAAAAAAAAAACAATCATAGAAAATTAGGGCTGGAAGGGACCTGGTCTCTCTAACCTGGTGGATGCCAAGGAAAGGAAGAGTAACCCAGCCCTGGATCGGTGAACCAGTTGTGTTTAGCAGTTGACTTCTGCTCCCTTGTGGTTTGAGAGCTTGTCTGGAAGGGGAGGGAAATCTTGGACTGAGCCTCTTTTGCTTTGTGCATCCATTACTGCGTCTAGAAGAGAACTCTTCTGCCATAGCAGGGACACCTCTGGGCACTGTCGCACGCTGCAGAGGAAAACAAACCCCTCCGCCAGGCATGCCTGTCTCTGTGGGGTGCGATTCTTTCCTGGCCCTGGCTGAGCAGAGGGGCAAGACCCTCTCACCAGAAACCTCCAGGTTTTTTAGTCCCAGCAGGAGCAGCAGCACAACCCGGTGATGATCCCTGGCCTTCGGCTGCATCTAACGCCTGATGCTTCTGGGATTCTGCCATCCTAATGTAGATCCATTGATAATTACCTTTACGGATATTAAGCCAGCTGTCTACCCATTGCGTGGTTTTTGCCTAGCCCACAATTTATTTACGAGAAGGTCTGGCAAGACTGACAAAAGCCCTAACCGAAATCTAAGCGTGCTCCATCCACTGCGTTCCCTGCATCCACCCACCCAGTTCCTTTGTTGAAGATCAGGTTTGACACCATTTATTTTTAGCAAACCCAGGCTGGCTGCTTGCAAGCAGCTTTTCTGCCTCCAGAGGTTCACAAATGGACTTCCCTCGAGAAGTTTACAAACGGACTTCAATTGCTCTAGCAGCTTCCCAGGCACCCGAGTCAGGCGAGCCCGCCTGGAGTCACCCCGGGGGGGGGGGGGGCACATATTAGGCAGCTGTATAGTTTTTGCAATACAAATACTCCGAAATCAGAACGCCGTCCTTCAAAAGAGCCGCTCTCCTGTAAGCTGGTTCCCTTGTTGCCCCCGCTCGCATCCAGTGGTTTCTACCTGCGACCTCCCAGCGCATATGACAGCAGGCAATGTTCCCTGCTGGGCGCGAGGTCTGGTGTGTCAGGTTGCTGGTCCCCTTATGAGGAGCTTCGATTGTGATGCGGGCAGGGATGCCGCTGCCCCGTTGTCAGGCTGCTGGTCCCCTCACGGGGGTTGGGCAGGGACGGTGCTGCCCCCTTGTCAGGTGAACCAACTGCCCTCAGGGGAGCGGCGGGGACGGCGTGGGGGGGCTGGCACGGGGCCGGCGCTGCCCCAGGCGCAGACGCGGCGCTCGGGGGCC